CCCCGCAGGCCTCTCTGGAATGTGGCTGGGGAGCCTCTGCTGCGGTGCATTTTTATTATCTGCAGTTCATTTGCTCTGTTTGGAGAGGTGGCGCGAGGCCGAGAACATCAGCAATAGGATTTCTTTGCACAAGGGTAACCTCCACCCCCGCCGCCCCCGCCCCCAGCAACCTGGAATTTTTGTCGTTAGAATGCGCCAGAAAAGGGCTTGCCACCCAGGACGCAGAAAGACCGGTTTTCTTTAGGTTTATAGTGGGGCGTGGGGGTATTTTTTAATTGTTGTTGCATTTTTGTTTGATTTGGGCGGTTTCAGAGAAGAAGAGAGGCATCCGGATCGGAGGAGACGGAGGTGAAATCTAAGATGGAGAGGAGATAAAGTTGAGCTGGAAGGGATCCTGCGCTATGGCCCTGGTTCCTCCTCCTTCACCAAGGACTTTGGCCTGAACTCTGCTCTTGTCCTTCTTGGCATCTGCCTTAAATCACAGAAAAGGACCTCTGTAAAGCCATTTTCTCCTGCATGAATCGCAAATAGTGCAGTGCTAGAATGGCCTAGAACCATCCAGATATTCACCCCCTCCTGACTGGATGTGGCAAAACCCTATGGCCTAGTGAGAGGGGTCAGGAGATAATGCCGGATGAGTTTCTGGCTCTGATGCCACTACCTTTTTCCTCACCTCATGTGTTTTTTAACAACTTGACTTGAGCTGTGGTCATCTGGGAAGAAGGACCCTAAATTGGAGGAAATGCCTCCATTAAATTAGCTTGGAGGCAAGACCTTGGAGACTTATTCTAGATTATTGATCGATGTGGTAGGCCAGCCCTGGCCAGGTGGTCCTGGGTTGTGTAAGAAAACGGGCCCAGCAAACCTGTAAGCATGAGGAGCAAACCTGTAAGCAGTTTTCACCATAGCCTCTGGCTCAGTGCCCTGAGTTCCTGCTCTGACTTCCCTTCATGACGGACTGCGATCAGAGCCTGTAAGCTAAATAAATCCTTTCCTCAAGTTGCTTTTGGTTATGATTCTTTTTTATCACAGCACTAGAAAGCAAATTAGCATACTTGCCCTGCGCAAGAGCAAGGAATCCCCGTGAGTGTGGCGGGAGGTTGTCTGCACCCTTCCTTTCTTCAGAAGTCAGAATTCATCTCCCAGCTCCCCTAAATGCCATCTGTCCAACTCTACATATAATTGTTTTGTCCTGGATGTCCTTTGGGTGCCCTTAACAAATAACAACAAATATTTGCTATGCAATATTTGCTTTTATTATTTATGGTGTTCACTTCCTACAAGTGCCAGGGAAAGGACAGGGAGAGAGCTCAGCTGGTAAAGTACTACACAAACACAAATACCTGAGTTGCATCCCTGGAAGCCACATAAAGATGTCAGTCATGCTAGCATCTGTCTCTGAGGGAGAGACAGACTCTTAGGCACACTAAACCAACAAAGTTACCCTACTTAAAAAAAAAAAGTAGACAAATCATCTAAGATAACTTGATATAACTTCCAACACACACACACACACACACACACACACACAGAGAGAGAGAGAGAGAGAGAGAGAGAGAGAGAGAGAGAGAGGCCATTGCTATTGTCATCCCCATTTAAAAGTCAGGAAAACAGAGGCTGGAATAGAGTTTAACAGTAGAATGACTGATTACTCAGTAAGTGGAAAGCTCACCCCTCACCATACGACTCCTGGTACCTGAACTTTCGGAAAAGGGAAGCTAGTAAACTAAGAGATCTGAGAACAAGGGGCTCCACAGAAGTTAGACCAGCAGGGAAAAAAATCCCAGTGAGAAACAATACAGTGGATCTCTCTCCTCACACTCCTTCCCAAACACACTGGCTTGTCTGTCATCATGAGCTCCTGTTTGTACGAACAAGGAAGGCACTTGAACACCTAGGAGATGGGAGAGAGCAAGTCCAGCCCCAAATCTCATGAGATCTTACTGAAAAATGAAAGCGTGAGTCCTTTTGTCCAAAATTAAACATTCCTATGGTGGTGACACTGGGACATTAGCCTGAGCTCTTCTGAACTCAACCCACAGACTGCACAGGCTGTATGTAGGCCCATATGTGCCATGGGAAGAAGCAGGGGTTTATTTTAGCAGGAGGAGGTAGAAGTCCTTTACCAGCACTCCTGTGGACCTCTGAGTTCGAAGCCAGTCTGGTCTACAGAATGAGTTCTCGGACAGCCAGGACTACACAGAGAAAGCCTATCAAACAAGCAAACAAACAAAGATAAGTGATAACCCATAAAAACAGAAATTCTTAGAGTTAGCAGTCTGCTTTCACATGACTGAATTTCATCCTACTCACATTTCTGGTCAAGATATTCCCAGAGCAAGTGAAGTGATCAGCTCCTGATTGTGACAGAAAGGGTATCTCTAAATTTTCTATTTAAAATTTCGTAAAGTTTTTTTTTTTATAATTTTAGTTATAAAGGTGTGAGCGACCTTTAGGCCTTCTGCAAGAGCAGGACATACTCCTAACCAATTAGTGAGTATGTGTAATGTGTGTGTGTAAGTACAAGCAAAGACAGGCCACAGCAGACATGTGCAGGTCAGGGGGACAGCTTTAGTAGTTTGTTCTTTCCTTCCTCCACCTAGTGACAACAGCAGAGTCTCTATTGTTGCTCCCTCCCTGCTGTGTCGTCCAGACTAGAGGTCAAGAGTTAGTAGGTGGTCTTCTGTCACCATCTCTCATCTCACTTTTAGGGATGCTGTGGTTGGAGATGTGTGCCCCTGCATCTGGCTTTCTTTCCTGAGTGGATTCTGGGAAGTGCTTAAATTGTTAGACTCACAAGGCAAACCCTTTTACCCGGTGAGCCATTCTCTCTGACCCCATCCCCTACATTTTCTCATTTCGTCACCACTCAGAGATACTGATGACTTTTCACACCTTACCACTTCCTCTGCCCTACAGTCATGTCATTCCTAACCTGAGTGGGGTATCTCACCACTCTCACACAGAAAGCACAGTCACATCACATCCCTGGTTAGAATTCCTGAGGAAGGGCTGACCATGGTGGTGCATGCCTTTAATCCCAGCATTCGAGCCAGAAGCAGGCCAGGTCTGGCCAGACAGGACTACACAGTGAGACCACATGTCTACCAAAATCCTTATGGCAACCTGGACTTCAGGAGACCACTGTGAGACACTCACTCAGTAGCTGCTCAGACAGGCCAGCCTGTCGCTGGATAACTGGCTCTGAAATATCCGGCTACTAGAAAGTTCTCCCCAATACTTAACAGCGCTCACACATAGGTTATCAGCTGTGGCCAAGCAGAGCATTCGTTTCTATAGAGTACATCTCTAGGGACATCCCACTCTTCCTACCCCCAGGATCTTCTCCTCACAAGCTAAGTCATACCTCTGAACAGTCCCATAAATGACAGCATTTCCCTTTCTCCCACACCCTAAATAAGTTCTGGTTTGTTGTTTGAGCCTAATGCTGCCCTTGACTTTGCTGCCGTCTGTCTACATGGCACTGTGGACTCAGACTGGTCACACTTGCTAGCGTATCTTCCGGCTTTCTGCATGGTGCTGCTATAGAAAACACTTCTGACATCTAGTCAGTAATCCAGGCCCATAAAGACTATCAGGAGCAGCGGTAAGTCTGAGCCAGATGATGGAACCTTAAGACTACCATGACAAATACGTCAGACTCAGGGTTGGGGACAAATGGCAGAGCATATGGCTAGTATCTCTGCAGTCCTAGGATCTGTCTCCAGAAATGCAAAAGAAAAAAAAAAGACACAACAAAGCTAGGTGATTTAAATAACAGATACTTTCTCAAAATTCTGGAAGCTAGAGGTCCCAGATCAGGGTATCATTGGGGCTAATTCTGCCAAGATCTCTGCCTCTGGTTGTCATTGGCCAGCTTCACCCTCTGTTTTTATGTCTCCTTCTCTGTATGTATTTTTATGTTCAGTTCCCCTCTTTTAAAGGCTCCCAGGCATTGAGCTAAAGCCTACCCTCTGACCTCACTAACTTAATTACTTCTTTAAGGACCCTATGTCGAAGCCCAAAATATTCTGAGGTTTGGGGTGATTGGAATTTTGAAATGGAAATTTGGAATGAGGAGATACCACAGGACCACATTCAGATCAGTTAAGACATGGTCCTATAATTGTCTCACTAATCTTCACTTTTAATACCAAAGACCAGAGGTCCTTCTGTCCTTTTCAAGTAGAGGGTGACTCTGGTAAATGGCAAAGATAGAAATGAAGAGACTACTTTCTCCCTATCTTCCACCAAGTCAGCACTGAGTCCAATGCAGCTAGCTTGCCCTGCCCTTCCCTTGACTATCAGACTCTGAGAACAAGTCAAAGGACCTTCAACATTTTCCCTTGGAAAATGTTATCAAAGCTTAAGCTTGTGTTGACATTTAAATCTTTCATTAGTTAGCCAGAGCTTCCATAACAAAGCATGGGTAGCCTGGGTAGCTTTACAGAGGAAAAATTCATTTTCTTACACTTTTGGGATAGTCTAAGATCAAGGTGGAAGCAGAGTCAGGTGGACTTCACTAAGGGTTGTGCCAGTGGCCTTTTGAACATCCATCCATACCTCTATTTTCATGTGGTCCTTCCTCTGCAGGCCTGAGTTCTGCTGTCTCTTTACGTTCACAACATTCCTTTTTAAGATACTATCAGGTTGAATTAGGACCTGCCCTAATTATCTCTTTTACTAAATTACTTCTTGCAATGGGATGGATCAAGATGTAATGAAACATGTGTATAAAAATATCACAGTGAAACTCATTAATTTGTGTGCTTACTTAAAAAAAAAAAAACTTTTAAAAAGGTGCCTATTCCAAGGCCTAACCTTCCAATAGAGCACAGTTTGAGGTAACCCCTGAGTTGGTATGGTGACATCAGGACTTCATCTACCATAGAAACCAGCCCTTTTACTGGAAGCTCAGCAGGTCACAATGCCTTTGTGTTAACTTCTCAGGAGGCGGCTAGTTAGCACAGTGCCTCCTAATTCAGTATCGAATAGATGGATTCTTAAGTAATATTTTGATAATAAAACTCCCAAATTGGTAAGTGAACTATCTTGTTTTTTTTTAAATATGATTAATAGCCTACTCAAATTTACCATTCATCTTTTCTTATTTGTATTCCAGCATACTTTTGAATGGGAGAGAAAGGAATGGAGTTGTAGTTGGTATGGAAAGAATTAAGCAAAACCCTGGCCCTTCCAGAAGGCATGTGTCCAGCATGTGAAAGATAAGCATCCCCTTTGCAGATGGCACCATGCTTGGGAAGGCTTTGTGCCAGAGATGCCGAAAGGATTAAAATGGACTTGTCCTATAGAATGGAGGACAACATGTGCTTAAAGGAAGGCCCCACCCTGGGTCAGCTGCAGAGAGTCACGGGTCTCACTAGGAATTGCTGGCATGTGGAACCACTGAAGTCACCCAACACCATGGCAAATACTGAGGCTAAGGGGAGGTTAAACTCCAGGGCAGCCAGCCTCGGTATCAACGATAAATGACACCCAATACTTGCTCACCATACTCTAGTTAATGACAGAGAAGTACTGAAGACCTATGAGCGGATGAACAGAAAAGTGTTTCCTACCCCTGAGATGAATGGGAAGATGGGATTTGGATAGCCTTTGGGTATCCAGGAGCATAACATATATGTAAACAGCATCCTGGATGGCAAAACAAACATACAAACATAAGCATTAGATTCACAGTCATTAGGTACACAACTCTGTCCCCGAGCAAACGACAACTCTGCCCATCGACCAACGTTTCCTGTGTCATGTGTGATTTTATTCCAGTTACAGTAAGTGTAGCTACGGGAAAGGGAAAAGTTCACTAGCAAAATATCAATTGTAGCGTTTTATACTTGATACTGTGGGTAGGATTCAAAGGAGAGAAACGAAGGGGGTAGATTTGGGTGGAGGGGAAGGGGGAGAATTTGGCGGGAGTCTGGGAGGGGAGATGAATGAAAATTAACTGCATAAAAATCTATTTTCAATAAAAAGGAAAAAA